GTTAAATATAAAATATAATTAATATTAAGAAAATTCATGTATCACACTGCGCGAACATCAAGTACCATGACGCCTCAAGAGGAGCTATCGATCGATGCTGGAAGTAAACAGAGCCGCATACCATGATTATCTATCCAAAATATTGAGTCTAACGAAAGGACCGAGGCATACAAAGAAGACTATCGACAACGCCCTGGCAGTTGCAAACTGACTCCCGTGCTGATCGCACGTTTTTATTCTACCGCGTAATCTAAATTTCATTCGCGTATATTCACCGAGTACATTTTAAGTTTCACTGCGTTTCATCTTTTAACAATATATTCACTGCGTTCACTGAGTTTTGTTCTAAATATATTCACTGCGTTCACTGAGTTTTATTTTAAATATATTCACTGCGTTCACTGAGTTCACTGCGTTCACTGAGTTTTATTTTAAATATATTCACTGCGTTCACTGAGTTCACCGCGTTCACTGAGTTCACCGCGTTCACCGACACTCAGTGTTATATGGTTTCGTCATTTTTTTTATGAGCGAAAACCATTTCATCTCGATCAGTTTCCGCGCTCCGGGCGTCCCCTGGTAAAGTCTGTGCAGCAGATTGACCGGAAAACAAAGCGGAGCATTGTAAGTTCTAATCCAGGACGTTACAGTATCGTCCACTTTTCAAGGCTGAAGATGATATCGATATTTGATTCATATGATCGTGTTACTTATGTCCTCTCTCAGGTTTCTCTCTGACATTATACTCATTAATATGTGTTTATGAGATGGAATTTATACTGAGAACGAAAAAAATTAATTTAAATTGAGATCTTTATCGATTTCTTAGTCTAATATGGTATCAGAGCTGTTAATATCATAACAACATTTGCTTGATATAACGAGCTTTGTATCTGTACCTTCAAAATTGTGGTTCACTAGTAGTTTACACGAACGAAAACGTACTGTTCTTAAAATTAAACTCAGACATCTAATTAAAACGCTATTGTTCTAGGAAAATTTATGTATATTCGTACGAGATATTTTTTGCTGTAATAATATGTAAAGATATGTTGATGCGCTGTGAAACAGCGATCTTGTTAGAATTCGGCCTTCACTTTACGATTCACTTAATACTGTTCTGGAATATTCGGCACATTGGGAATACGAACTAAACTTTCTATGAATATTTAGCGTTAGCTTCACCATTATTTGTTTTGAATTTCGCGTATTTAACGCCAAATACACCATAATAAAAATGCTAAAACATTTAAGAATTTTAAGCACGACTGTATATATGAATACATCAAATATGATAAAGAAAGCCATGATCAGTCAAAATTAGATGTTTTTAAATAATACATTATATATTCTTATATTATTTAAAAATATCCAATTTTGATTGAAAATTGCTTAATTTCAATGTCATTACGTTACCATACACTTCCAATTTCATAAGCTTAAACGATTTAAACTTTCGGAAAAACAAATAGAGCTATATCTGCAAAGTTCGTTTCTTGAAATATGTGCATTGAAAACGATACGTCTAATCGGAAGTCTCATATTTGTTCCGATAAAATGGTAGGAACTTCGAAAATATCACATAGAGCCATATACATGCGTCGACCACATGTATATCAAAAAAAGCAGAGAACAATATGGTATCTGCACAAAGAACAATATGGTATCTGTATTTTTATATTACTTCAAATAAATTAAAACTATCAGGAAATTCTTATGGATCAGTATCTACATTACATTTTGCGATTTCATATAAATTATATAAAAATTATGGTCTGATGAAATAATTAATAATTTTTAGTAATAGATACGATTGAAATACTCAGTAAACGTACCAGTATTCATCCCGAAAGACGGAATAAAACGGTAAGGTACCGATTAAATTTCTATCGTACTCAATCGGATTCTATCGATTTTTTAAGCAGGTCGGAGAGGGAGGGTACAGTATAGTTTTTAATATATGTTGCAGAAATAAGACGGTATTTTTTTATTAATAACTTATTAACGAAGGACGAGCATCGACTAAAATCTTCTGAAGGTTACTCAGGGTCATGATCTTGATAACATACCTAGATAGTCAAATCTATAGAAAGCAGATTTTTTAAATGTCTGCTACACACTATGCCAACAAAATAACAACAGAATTAGATATACATAATACTGTTGACAGACTGCTAGAAAAAATGTAACAGAATCTGCAAGCGTCAGATAATGTTGGCAGGATCTGTTCAGTTTCTGCCAACAATTTGCTTTCACATTATGTCGACAGGCGATGTGAGCAGAACACAAGCCTAATGCGGACGCAGTTGATGACAAACTGCCGTCATTTTCTGTTCGAACCTGCTGACAGTCTGCTAGAAGACTGCAGACATTTTGCTATCTGGGATATGTCAAGGTCAAGGTCATTGAAAGGATTCCCCTTAACAGAATATTTACCAAGTATACACATTAATACATACCTGTAAGGTGGAGTTTATGCCGAGAACGTCAAAAAAATTCAAAATTGAGACCTTCACCATTTCTTAGTCTAATATGATACTCTAGAGCAACATCGTGACATTTGCTTCATATAAAAATTATGCAATTTGTATTTACGAAATAGTAGTCCATAGATTAGTAGTTTGCACGAAAAAACGTGGAATTCTTAAAATTGGACTTAGACATCTAATTAAAATATTATACGAAAATTTATGTATATGTGCGTGAGATATTGATGTAATAGTATGTGGTAATGTGTCAGTGACACGTAAATTGTCTATGTCCTACTTACCATTATGACTAATCGTCTTTAGGATCTCCTTAAGGGGAGAATCTGATTTATAGAACGCTGATAAATAGTTGTCTTTGCGAATTTTTTATGAACAAACCATGATGCCGATCTTTCAAAAAATTTGGAGGTTTATTTCTTATATATTTAAACAATAATTTAAAAAATAATTTTTTAATAAACAAATAAATGAATATAATAAAAAGTTATATATTAATATACTTCGGTATCGGCGTTGTAAATTGGCGTGCAATGTGGAGCCTGTAATTCTTATTTAACACAAAAAAA